CTCTCTCTCCATCCCGCTCGCTCTTGCGCTGCCTCTTTCGACCATCTGTGAATAAGACACCGTACACTCGACCCGGTGACCCAACCGTATAGGCTCCTATTCCCGCTCTTGATAAGATCAGCCCTCCGTGTGGCTCGGCGTGGAGGTGGAGGGGGAGGAGGGGAGGAGGGGGAGGGGACTGGCAGCGGAGGAGGGAGGCGCGGCTCGTGTTGCTGCGTGATCAGCTGGAGTCGGCACGCCAGCGTCTGCAAATCCTCGCGCTGCGTCTCCAGGACGTGTCCGCCACCGAGCGACAACGCAGGTAGGTGGCGCCTCACGCTGCCCCGCGCGCAGGGGGGGTTAGGGTAATGGAGTAACTGCCAACATGTTCTGTTTCACGCTGCAGTTACCATGGTAATCTGTCGCACACCACTGTTATCGCAGTAAACGTTCTAACACTACAGTTACCATAGTGATCTGTCTCACACCACAGTTACCATGGTGATCTGTCGCACACCGCAATCACCATGGTGATCCATATCACACCACAGTTACCGTGGTTACCTGTTTCACACCACAGTTACCATGGTGACTCGGCTGCCATGGTGATTTGTTTCACACTCCACTCTTCAATCTTCTGCAGAACGGCTGATGGTGGAGAAGCATCCCGATCGGAGGAGGAAGCCGAGAGGGACGGCTCCGGGAGTTCGGACGAGGTTTCTCCGATTCGCGGCGACCTCTCTCACGTGCTGAAGGAGATACGCGGCCTGCGCACGTCCATCCTGCTCGAGTCGATGGTAGGTCGCGCGGCGCGCGCAGCGATGATGAGATCGTTGTTTATTCACGTAATTAGGGCTCGTTAACGAGCGTCGCGATGTCATTCCTCGCCTAACATGCGCAGGTTACGGTTCGCCTCGTGGTTGGTCTCGTATGAGCGCGGTGTCTCCTGTGTTGTGTTCCACAGCTGGAGGGCATGTCGCCCGACCTATATCTAATAGTATGTGTGTTACAAGCACTGTGTATCCTGAGTTGTGTGACCTATTATGGCACATATTAGGTCTATGGTAATGTCTCCTGTCTTGACCATGATACCCACAGCTGGAGGGAATGTCACCCGACCTATATATGATAGTGTGTTTGTTGTAAGCACCCTGTCTTGTGGTTGGTTACGTGTGTTCTGTGATCTGTGTTAATGCCTCCTGTCTTGCCCGTGTTGCCCACAGTTAGAGGGCATGGCTCATAGCTTGCCCGACCTATATATGATGTTTTGTGGGACCTATGACTATATATATATATATGTATATATATATATATATATATACCGTACATATATCTATGGTAATGTCTCTTGTATTGTATATGTCTACAGCTAGAGGGCATGGCCCCCGACCTGTATATGATTGTATGTCTGTATTGTATATATGTCTACAGCTAGAGGGCATGGCCCCCGACCTGTATATGATTGTATGTCTGTATTGTATATATGTCTACAGCTAGAGGGCATGGCCCCCGACCTGTATATGATTGTATGTCTGTATTGTATATATGTCTACAGCTAGAGGGCATGGCCCCCGGCCTGTATATGAATGTATGTCTGTATTGTATATATGTCTACAGCTAGAGGGCATGGCCCCCGACCTGTATATGAATGATGTCTGTATTGTATATATGTCTACAGCTAGAGGGCATGGCCCCCGGCCTGTATATGATTGTATGTCTGTATTGTATATATGTCTACAGCTAGAGGGCATGGCCCCCGACCTGTATATGATTGTATGTCTGTATTGTATATGTCTACAGCTAGA